TACTACTACTACTACTACTACTACTACTACTACTACTACTACTACTAAGGCACTTGTTACTAGAAGCGATGCACTTGTTACTATTTGCGGAGGTATCTCCGCATTTTCATGGCGATTTTTGTGGATTTGCAGCGAGTTTGAGCGACGATGATCGTAATCACTTTGATTGTATCTGTATCTGCATTAGGCCACATTGGGGTTCGCTCTAAAGGCTAAGGTAGCCGCAATAACGTGGCCACCGCTGGCAACTTCACGTCCATTCTTGACGTCAGTAGTGCAGAGAGAGACTCTGCAAGTTGTGCCAAATCCAAGCTCTGCCAATTGCACCACTGTAGTGAATCCTGAATGGCTCACGTGAAAGAAAAACAGAGACAAACTGCGGTATCTAGTAGACTTCTGCACACAGGACAAATAAACGTATCCTATGGTATCATAGAACAAAGACCTTTCAGGGTACGGGGCGGCAGTAAAGAAAGCATTTCAAACCTAGGTGTAAAGGCGTCTCCAACTCTGTTTTTCTAGCGATGGCATCCCACAGCTCCTTTTAATTCTTTGTTTTCTTCAAGCAAAACACGGAACTTCGTGGATATGCCCTTAGTAGCGTCCTTGCTCCTAGTAGTATGGAACCCCTAGTAGCGTCCTTGTTCCTAGTAGTAAGGCCAGGAGCCCCTAGTAGCGTCCTTGCTCCTAGTCGCGATGCCCTTTACTCCTAGTAGTGTCCTTGCTCCTAGTGGATATGCTGCACCTGCTTTTTACGCTGGGCTCAAACAGGGATCGGAATCAGATTGTTCAGCTCGGTCCAAAAGGCTCTGTTGACACAAGGACTCTGCGACCTCGTGGGACAAGCGCTGAACCTCGTGGGATGTGGATCTGACAGTTTGTTTAAAAGAACACAATCTTCTTACTAGGAGCAAGAAGCTACTAGGGGCTCCTGGCCTTACTACTAGGAGCAAGGACGCTATTAGGGGCTCCTTCCATCGCTACTAGGAGCAAGAAGCTACTAGTAGCTTCGTGTTCCGAATAGCGAAGGCCTCCAATCTACTAGCAATAGCCTCGAACCTACGATCGCGATGGCCTTCTCATCCTTCTCATCCTTCGTAGATCGGCACAAGCGGGCCAACGCCAGCGCTGTCAGCGCCACATTCTTCGGACGTTGGAACGTTGAAGCAAGTTCCACGATGGCAGGACATAGCGTGGACTTGAAGAGCTCAAGTACTTGAACCCTCAAGGCTCTCATTTCACACGCCGCTGGCGCTGGTGCTTGCGCATGTACGCCACGTGGCTCAAGGCTGTCTCCAGCTTCTGAAGCCCATTTCGGCTCCAGCCATCTGGAGAAGATGTAACAAAGGTGTCCTAAATGGTCAAAAACCAGGAACACCGGGTCCTAAAGGAAAAACGAACCACATAATGCATATATAAATAGATAGGTCTAAAAGGCCAGGAAGAACAATAAGTATCAGTCAGTATAAGCAAAAAAGAACACAGAAAGGCCTAAAGAAACAATAAGAAGGTCAGAAGGTCTGAAAAAGGTCTAAAGAAAAATATGTGTACAAAGAACAAATACAAAAACAAAACAAAACGAGCGTCTAGAGTCAAACAAAAAGAGAACCATTGTTGTAAACAAGTCAATAAAGGTCTAAAGTTAGCGTTTAAATGAAAAAACACATGCTTTGCTCCTTTTGAGACCTGTTTGCACATTGCTTGCACATAAGTGTCCTAAATGGCTCGCTGAGAGCTTTGCATGGGAAACGCGCTGCACAGCGGCTGGGCTGATGGCCAAGCTCAAGTCCAGCAACGCCAAGCGCTCCAAAGCATTCAGCAAGGCACAAAGCCCTTCCAAAGAGACGCCCCAACTCAGCTCTTTAGCCATCCCAGTCGTCCTCAGTGATTTTACAAGCGATGGCCTCCAACCTAAGAGCAATGGCCTCCAACCTATATACGTTGGTAGAACAAGTTGAATACCGAATAATTAGTATATTATATAATAATCTGTTCCTGTGTTTCTTGGTTTTTTTTTGATCCCTTTGTTTTGTCCTGCTGACCGGTCGTTTCAAGTTTCTGTCTTCAGTTCTCTGTTCTACAAGGGCTCCAGGTCATGCAAGACATTGTTGCACGTTTACGGAATCAGGCTTCAAGTGCACCTTTCTGTGAAAAATCGTAAGGACGCTGCCACGGCTGCAGCAATACTCGAAAACCATGAACAACCTCTGAGCGGTACTTCTGAGAAACCTCACAACAAAGTTCAATCAAATTTGATAGCAACAGTAGCGCTGTCGCTGGTAGCTTCGATGGGAGGTTGGAGGCCATTGCCCTTAGGTTGGGAGGCCATTGCTCTTGGGTTGGAGACCATTGCTCTTTGGTTGGAGGCCATTGCTCTCAGGATGGAGGCCATCGCTCTTAGGTTGGAGGCTGTCGCTCTTAGGTTGGAGGCCATTGCCCTTAGGTTGGAGGCCATCGCAAACATCTTGAAAGGTACAGTAACGCTGGTCATGAGGAGCCCACTGCTGCAAGAGACGAAGCCAACTGTGCCAAATCCTGTCGGAGGGGAACAAGCTTCTAGTTACTACTAGCTTCTTGTTACTACTAGTAAGGCACCTGTTACTACT